CCATGTGACTTTTGGAGGCAGTCTCGTACGAAACGCTCGTTTTGGAGGATTGACGCGTGACGGAGGAAGTTTCGTACGAAACGCTCGCTTTGCAGACTCGAAGTGCGAGTTTTTGACGAAGTCTCGTACGAAACGCTCGCTTTGGAGGATTGACGCGTGACTTTTGGAGGAAGTCTCGTACGAAGCGCTTGTTTTGCAGACTCGAAGCGTGAGTTTTTGAGGATGTCTCGTCGTACGAAACCCTCGTTTTGGAGGGTTGACGCGTGAATTTTGGAGGAAGTCTTGCGAACCGCTCGCTTTGCAGACTTGAAGTGTGAGTTTTTGAGGAGGTCTCGTACGAAACGCTAGTTCCCACAACAGTCCCACAAGAGTGTCCCACAACAGTGTCCCCCACAGTCCTACAGGAGTCCCCTACAAGAGTGTCCCACAAGAGTACCCGACAAGAGTGCCCCACAAGAGTGTCCCACAAGGTTCCATAAGAGTGTGTCCTACAACAGTACCCGCAAGAGTGTCCGACGAGAGTGTCCTACAAGAGTGTCCTACAAGGGTGTCCCACAAGAGTCTCTCACAAGAGTGTCGGACGAGAGTATCCAACAGGAGTGTCCTACAAGAGCGCCCCACAAGAGTGTCCCGCAAGAGTGTCCTACAAGAGTGTCCTACAAGGGTGACCCACAAGAGTCTCCCACAAGAATGTCCCACAAGAGTGTCCCACAAGAGTGTCCCACCACAGCTTTTCTACAAGAGTGTTGGACAAGAGTGTCCCGCAAGAGTGTCCCATAAGAGTGTCCGACAAGAGTGTCCTACAATGCCCCACAAGAGTGTCCCCCAAGAGTGTCTGACAAGAGTGTCCTACCTAAAGGGTGTCCGACACGAGTCTCCCAGAATAGTGTCTCACAAGAGTGTCCGACAAGAGTGTCGTACAAGAGTGTCCCACCAGAGTTTCCCACAGAGCGTCTTACAAGAGAGTGTTCCATAAAAGCGTCTGACAAGAGTGTCCTACAAGAGTGTCCCACAAGAGTCTCCTACAAGAGTGTCCGGCAAGAGTGCCCCACAAGACTTTTCCACAAGAGTGTCCCGCGAGATTGACCGACAAGAGTGTCCCACAAGAGTGGCTGACATGAGTGTCCTACAAGAGTGTCCCACAAGAGTGTCCTACAAGAGTGTCCCACAAGACTTTTCCGCCAGAGTGTCCTGCAAGAGTGGCCGACAAGAGTGGCCTACAAGAGTGTCCCACAAGAGTGTCCCACAAGAGTGTCCCACAAGAGTGTCCCACAAGACTTTTCCACCAGAGTGTCCTGCAAGAGTGGCCGACAAGAGTGGCGTACAAGAGTGTCCCACAAGAGTGTCCCACAAGAGTGGCTGACAAGAGTGTCTCGTACGAAATGCTCGTTTTGGAAACTTTGCCATGTGACTTTTGGAGGAAGTCTCGTTGGCCACACAGCCAAAAGAGACGAAGGGAGGACAAATATATGTGTTGAAACTTTGCTTCCCAAGACCAAGCATTTCCAAGCCTTCTAAACGCCGGTGCCCTTATATTATGTTGATATGTGCTTGCTTATTGGCAGAGCCTTGCATTTTGTTTGACATGAAACAAAGATGTCACCATCATTCAGACCACGTTTCTTGCATCAACAATCACATCACAAAACTGTTGGGAATGTGTGGCGTGAGGAACATGGAAAGCAGGACGTTGTGTGAGGTACACGATCTTTGTAGAGTGCGCTGACCAGACTGGTTGCGGGACAGGACCAGCTTCAAGGGCTTGGGATTACCAGATGTGTTCCTTGGCCCTAAGCAGCGAGTATGCCAAAAAACTAAATCCATGTTTATGTTTGTCTCATTCCAGCCAATACCTTAACAGCAGCGCTGAGACGTTTTGCGACAATACAGTGAGTCGTTTGTGCCATTGTTTTGCTCTAATTTACTAATTGTTTCTTGGCAGCTTGAGGCACAGAGATCTTTTACGAGCAGAACACCAACAATGTCAGCGACATGTTTCCCCCAAGGCTGGCTCAGCAACTTGCGATGCCCCACCTCACGAGTGTGATGAGCTTGACGGGGGTTCATGGTCAATGGAGCGAACTGACACTGAATTGAAAACAAACATTTTTTTGGCCAGATCTCCCTACTTAGCAATGCTAGGCCCAACTTGAGGGAAATCCAGCCGGGATTGGCAAGCCTGTGTTTGCCAGGAACTGGACAATGGAGAAACTGAACCGCTACTGCAGCAAACACTATGGTGTGAAGCCAGACCCAGTCCTGAATCGATTACAGTCCTTCGCTCAGAGTGATGCGAACAAGATTGGCTGAAGTAGTCAATGGGCGTGCTTTTTGCGTTACACGCATGTGCCCATACATTGCACTTTGCTTCAATAGGAGGACACATCACAAACAACACACAGAAGGCAGATCTAGGTCGAGCCCGCACGCCCATGACCAAAGCCAAATGAACTCAGGCTCGGTGGGATTAACATGACAAGATCCGCCTCGAAGATCATTTTCTCCAATGGTTTGTTGGATCCTTGGCACGGAGGCCTCCATTGTGCATGGAAAATATCGCCATTTTGACGTCTTATATTTCACTGTACTCCACGAATATGAATTTCCTATAATGTCCTGACGCAGTTTGCAAGCACTTGACTTCCTGCCTTCCAGCATCGCCATGCGAATTAGTAACAGGTGGGTACCTCAACGACCAGGGGCCAACTTTGCCAGCCGTTGTGATAAAACTTGGCGTAACATGGCTGAACAAATACCGATGTGAGTGATTTTGTGCTTCCGTGGAGGCAAGACGAGAAAACCAGATGTGACATGAGGCCAACTCCATGTTTGTTCACATTATATATTGATGATTTTCAGAGACTAAATCACAACACATGTTAGGAGTCTGCATTTGACTATATATAATGACGTAGTGAATTTCACGTCCGTTCTTGTCGCGTCCATTTTCACAAACAAAGACACTTCATTCTGCACGTCTCTGTGATAGAATTTTCAGTTCAGCAGATACGAATGGTACGACTTTCAGGACACAGAACCTAGTCCGATTGTCTTCTGATTCCATGCCCAGTTGTTGTGTTCAAGGCACATCATTTGGATCTCCGAGAAGCCAACCCAGAAGATCCCCAGTCCGTGTTGACCGCACGCCAGGAGGATGGGTTTCTCCAAGCCCTGAAGAAGTGCGAGTGATAATAAGTAAGCAGGAGAGAAGGAGTAAGACTGACTAAGATAGGATGAACTGGTAGCAAGGAACTGATAAACAGATAAAGTTTGATGTCTCAACACTATGTCGGACCGTAGTCGCTTGACTTAACAGGCCGGCCGACTTTCAAACAGCAATGCTTGAAGCACTTCAACGGTTTGCTAAGCCGGCATTGTGGTAGCTTTGTCGTGGTCTTCTGGGTCTGGTAAGTCTTGTGCCAGAAGGATAGCTTCGGTTGTCAGGCATGAACAGCAGCTCTGTGGATCTCGCTCTCAGGAGAAGCGCCTCATTGGTCTTTGGCTCTCTGAGAGCCAAGGCCTTTGTGATGGGCAGAGCCGGCAGAGCCAAAATGGAAGCGATGCACCTTTCAGCCCGGTAATGATGGCTGGGGAACCAAGAATTGATCGGCTTTAAATGGTCACAAGGAGCCACAAAAGTGTTGCAAACAGTCTTTTTGCAGTGGAACTGGGGGAATGCAGCTGACCTTCTCACAGGACATGCAAGATGGATCACGATGTGCTGAGTCGCTGCATTGGAATCATGTCAATAATGTCCTTTCTTTTGATGCCAAGGCCTGCATGGCTGCCTTTGCTTCTGGAGTTGCTTTGGCCTCCACTGCCAATCATTGCAAGCGGCGTTTTTATTCCAGAGAGAAGGAGCCTTGAAATGGGATCAGCCGTTTGGTAGTTTTTCCATTGGATCCTGGTGTATAGCCTTGACATGTGAGCAGCTTCAGACAACTTGAGAGCATTTGTTTGGCGCATGTTTGCCAGGATGCACAGATGATGGAGGCTTTGCGGAGGCATGACATGCCATTTACCAGGGTTATATATATATAGTGCCTTGCAACCAAGAGCTATGACGTGGAAGTAGCTGAACCTTCCAGTGGTCTTGCATGATGGAACCGATCTCATCTGTCCTTTTCTGCCCGTGCAAGGAAGCTTTGATTGAGATTAAAATTGATGATGTATACAAATGACATACAGTATATTATATGAAAGAACAGTGGATCACACTAGCAAGATTGAGATTTTCCGATTCGGATCTCTGCGGCGATCTGTCAGGTCTGTGTGATCGCCGGTCCGAACCCCTCATCCGCAGGAGTCCAAGAGGATACTGCAACCGCCTAAATCAGCGAAGACCAATTTACAGTAAAAAGTCCAGAGCAGTCGTGGGAGATCCTGTACTTGGAAAAAAGATATTGTATGCCCCCTTCAAGAGCGACACAGCGAAACCATGTCGCTTTGGACAAATTCACGGCCCGAAAAAGCGACAGGCCCCCCCCCTCCAAAGCGGTTTACAATTCGCCTTGGAATCACCAAAAACAACCCCACTCAGCTATTTGCGAACAAATGTGCTCTTGGGTTTAAGTCCATGATCTTCAAAGATTGCCCGAGTAAGGCCTCGGAAAAGATCGTCGAACTTGTCGTTGTCTCTGTGATAGAGCTAGCAGCAAAGGATGTTAGCACAGGCCTTGCGTGGGTCTGCTAAACTTGACGTTTCTGGAGCAGAAGGTGATTTTACATGCCTTCAATTCATGTTGCCAACTTAGCTTTGCGCACAGCTCTGAGAAAAAGGCCTGTGCTGCACAAACGGGCCGAGCATGCCAGGTGAAATTCAAGATCCCATGTCGGTCGAAGTGGATCAATCTGGACCAAGAGCAAAGACCTTCAGCATGCCGACCACTGCCATTGGATCCACTCTAGGTTGGTGGAACCGCTTCTCAACAATGTTCCATCTTCGGGGTTTTGTTTCGGAGAAAAGGTCCTGTTACTCCCAGAATGTTGCTTTCGTTGAGGTATGCTGAAAATGCAAAGATCGAAGCCGACATTCTTCGGGACCGGAAAGCAGAAAGGATTTACTCTGGCCGTTGACACAACTCACACAACTCACTGTTCCTGCGCCTGTGCCTCTTTGTCAAGCTCGTATTTTTGAGTTTTTTGCAATCGATCGTTTACAGTCCACTCTAGCCAAGCTGCATTCTTTGAAGCAGTTGTGTAGAAAGCAGAATTCATGAAACATGGAACCAATGATTGTGATGGCAGTTTGTTGAACGGGCACATTGGCCTTCTTGCGAAGGATATCAAGAAAGCAGACCCGCACGGCAAGAGGACAAGGACAAGAGGGCTCTACTAAAACTTTCAGATCATGGATTCGGATTCCGAGCCTATTCTAAGCTGGAACATGCTTGAACATGCTTGAACCATGTCAGTAATTTCTTGCAGAGGTGAGAGCGCTGTGCGTTTCTTGCCTGAGCTGTGGGGCTGACCAATGAATCCGTGGCAGGAGTGCGATCATGTTTGACACATTCCTGTTCAACGCGTGCACTGGACGTGTTTGGGTTGGTTGGCCTGTTTGCATATGAGACCTTAGGCTGGAGGCGACAAGGAGCCAGAATGAGCCAAGTTGAGCTGATTCACAGCACTGTTTGACCATATCTGACCATCGGAATAGGTGCATGTGTTGAACATATAATATATATAAATCACCAAGAATCTCAGAGAATATCAAGAATTGAATGAGACCAGAGTGCTATGGATGTTCAGGTGAAGAGGAGAGACATGGTTGTTGTTGTTGTTGCTGCTGCTGCTGCTGCTGCTGCTGCTTCTCAGTGAGCATTGCAGACATGCAATGAACCGCAGACATTCTGCACCCCGTGTGTGCAAATCCTTCAAGTATAGGTACAACAGGTCCTTTAGATTCCTTTAATCCGTGAACATGCTACAATGCATGCTCACAACAATGCAGACATTTTGTGCTTCTTTCTTGACAGGCACTTTTGCCTCGTCTTCGAGGTGTGTGGCTGCTCTCTGTACGATTTTCTCAAAGAGTTGCTTGGAAACAACGCTGAATGCAGGGTTATGCAGTCGACCACTTCAATTTACTACTAGGTATTCACCCTTGCCTTGGGGTTTATTTGTTCCGCAGCTAACACCGTAGGGCCCAAATTTTATGCATACAAGCATGGATGCGCCGTTTTAATACTTCAATCGCATCGGCACTCAGGAACAACTTCCGAGGCTTTTGGATGCAGGACGGTATGATAAGGGGAGGCGCTTTTCATGAAGGCAAACCAAGACTCAGCTTTAGGTTGCTTCTGATAACAAAGCTGATTTGCTTATTAGGCTGGTACTTGTAGAATAGATAGTATCAACCACACGGTATTTGTATACATGTGGCTGTTGTATGTACTGTACCGAGTGCGCAGCGCAGACAACCCCCCTCCAGCTTTGGGCGTCTCTATGCAAGGTTGAACAGCTTTAAGGCTTGTATCTATATAGACCAGCGAATGCAAATAGAACTTGCAACTGCAGTATTTTTGCTTGTTTGCACGAACAATGAAACGCAATGAATTGCGAGCGCAAGTTTCCCCCCCAGCATCCATTTGAGGCTCCATTTGGAAAGGAGGGTAGTTAGTGTCAGGAAACCGTTCAATTTTTGTTCACAGGGGCTTGATGATCTCGGCACTAGGTTAGATGGATAGACCGAAATTGAAGGACTTCTTGCAGCACAAAGCTCGTTGCAGGACATCCAACACTTTGCAGAGCAATCGCTCGACGCTTTGGGGTTCTTGCACAGCCGGCTGCAGGTGTGGCCATTCTTGAGACGTATTTAGTGTTGTTCCAATGTATGGCAATTTGAGAGCTTTCTTTTAGGAGCAAGGACGCTACTAGGAACAAATGCATCGCTACTAGTAACAAGTGCCTTACCAGTAGTAACAAGAAGCTACTAGGGGCTCTTGGCCTTACTACTAGAAGCGCGTCTGGCCAGATGACCCACACAGACCTAAAGCCAGAGAACATTCTCTTGGCGGCCAATGCGCCACCGCGCCGGAGCGACTTTCCAAGGGAAGCTGCCTGGCAGGAGACCATGCAGAGTGAAAGGTGCAGTCTGAATCAGACCGTGCTTAGAGTCTGCCTAGTAGCTACTTGCTCCTACTGCTGCCAGGAGCCCCTAGTAGCGTCCTTGCTCCTAGTAGCGATGCCAGGAGCCCCTAGTAGCCACTTGCTCCTAGTAGTGGGTCGGCCAAATTCGATGACCCTTCTAGATCTTTGAAGTGCCTTTCGACTCCGCAGGCTCGCTCGCACAACTGGTGGGCGCGAGCAGGGGCTTTCCGCAACTGCGCTCTCGTTTTAGTGCCGTGCACAATTTTAGACTTGGTGGTGACTGTTCGTGGCGGGAACAAGGAAATCCTTGTGTTTTGGTAGTCTGAAGTGACAAGTCGGCTTTTCGTGGGAGGTGCAGGAGATGGGAGCCATTCTACTTCGATGTGTAGGTTTCGTGGCAGGTACAGAGGAGGGAGTGTAATACCCACAGCACGCCCTTTAGGAGCCACAGCAACAACCGGTCTTCCCCAACAAGACAACACCCTTTCCCCCGATAACAGAAAAATCCGCGACAACCGTACCCCCACGAACCCCCCCGACAACAGAGAACGTATGGCTGATGTTTTTTTCAGTTCCTCTATTTTTCATGCTGTGGCTCCACCCTTCACATTGACCAGCAAATGCCCATAGGGTCAAACAAAGGGTGCCTGAGAAGACACTGAAGAGCCGGCAAAGTGACGATCCCGGACACGGTGAAGCTGTTTCATCATCATCATCATCACCATCATCATCATCATCGTCATCACCATCATCATCATCATCATCATCACAGTAGCATTGTATGTGCCCGTGTGCCTGTCGAGGTTGGCGTGCCCAGGTGCAAGGTCAGAATCATGCTCACCATGATCGTCATCAGCGCCATCGCCTTGAATATACAATTCTTACCGTTGTCGTGGCCCTCACCTTCATCCTGAGTCCATGTGACCATGGATTGCGACCGTCCAGGTGTGGCAGCAAAGCTAAGTCGTCATTATCATTGTGAGTAGCGTTGTAATGGGAATGATTATTAACATTGTGTGTCCATGTGACCGTGGGCAGTGACAATGCCTGGGTGCCAGTGTATATAATGTATATATGGTTGTCGATCTAAAGGTCCTAGACAGCATTGTGTATGACGATGACCCGGAACATATCAAAATCTCCTTTGGCGAAAGTTTCTTCTCGAGTTGGCGAAAGTAATTTGTTTTGGCGAAAGATCTGGCGAAAGATTAAATATGTACTTTTGTATGAATGTTCATTTGCTTCCTGAACAGCTGGTGGCAGTGACTCAGAAGTTAGATGAGCTGTGGAAGTTAGATAACCTGCTGCTGCTGCGGCTACTACTACTACTACTACTACTACTACTACTACTACTACTTACTACTTACTACTTACTACTTACTACTTACTACTTACTACTTACTACGTACTACGTACTACATACTACATACTACATACTACGTACTACGTACTACGTACTGCTTACTGCTTACTGCTTACTACTTACTACTTACTACTACTTACTACTACTTACTACTACTTACTACTACT